ATCTTCCCGAACCCAAACCTTTGAACAGTGGTTTACAGCGATGTTGCTGATAAGTGACAGTGACATTTTAATATCAACAGTGTCTCAATGTTCAGAGAATCAAGACCCTTGCCTGTACCCAAATTTGTATTCACAATACACGAATTCATAGGGAAATAATGAGACATAGCATACAAAAACTGGAATTTAATTTAAATGAAAAGACTGTAAATTCAGTCAACCTTGTTCTTAATCTCATGTCATACATACTTGGTTTGTGGCCTTAATGTGACCCCTGCTTTTGGCAGACCAGTTGCCCAGCAAGGTGCATTAGCAAACGCCACTGCATCACACTCCACTGTAAATCACACTTAGCTCACAGTGCAAACACACACCTACTGACATCATCGGTCACTTACCCTTCACTTTTCAGAGTATGCACATGCAATACTGAATGTGTGGTTATACGGGACCCTTTTTGACATCTAACCTCCAAACGCGTGCAGGGCCCTCACAGTACCCAGTGGCCCAGGTCACATGCCAGAGGCCGTTCAGCTCAGTGTCACTCTCAGTCATGTGTGTAATATGTGAGGGTGGCGCCCAGGAGGCTTATGGGGGATTGGGTTGTGATGTGGTCAGCCCCTGCCGGGCATGAAGGAGCAGTGCTGTGGAAACAGATAGAGAAGACCAGAGTTCAACAGTCATATTTAGAGATTGTCTTCGAGATACACATATCTGAACGGTCCTGTTCTCTGTCTGCATCTTGTATTTTCTCTCTCTCTCTCTCTCTCTCTCTCTCTCTCTCTCTCTCTCTCTCTCTCTGCCACTCACTGATCTGACATCACTGGACTGCAGATGCCCGCTATTAAAGGCATAAAAGAGCTCTTGAAGAATAATTGGATGTGTTTACAGTGTTTTGCCCTTCTGACACTGGAGTTGTGGCTGTTAATTCTGCCTGATTAAAGGGCCTCGGTGCCGTCTGTGTTGAGAGACGAGCAGACGGTCTGTCATAAATTGCATCAGTGATTTATAGAGGCGGCCATGGGAGGGTCAGTGTTCACTGTACTGAGGAGCGTCTGTACTGAGGAGCGTCTGTACGTCTGTGTTCGAGCGAGAATGTCTGACATGTGCATCAGATTGTGAGCTAATGGCTCTGATCCAAATCTTGATGAGCTGCCTGGCTGTCTGCTGTCTTCATAGGCTGCTGCCTTCGAAAACACTGTGTTCTAATCTCTTTCATGTAATAGCGCCATCACATTAGCGAAACTGCAGTGAAATTTTGTAGACAGACACAAGTAGGTCCATTGTCAATAGTGTAGTGATGCATTAAACACTGCTTACTTCACTTACTTCCAAACCAAGCAGCATTGTATTGGTAAAAACAATAAATTAACATTTTAAAAGTTCAACAAAATCAATGCAAAAATCTTAATCCTGTGGATTCCTATTAAAATGGCATGCAATATCACTGTAAAAGTGTAAATGTGATAGCACCTTAACTCTAAGGGTGTATTCACACCTGTCTTGTTTGGTTCGATTGAATCGAACTCAAGTTCGTTTCCCCTCTTGGTGCGGACCTTTTTGGCAGGTATGAATACAGCAATCGCACTCGGGTGCGGACCAAACAACCGTACTGAGACCCAGCTGAAGAGGTGGTCTCGGTCCGCTTCCAAACGAACTCTTGTACGGTTCGTTTAAGGTGTGAATATGACCCGACCTTGATCTGGTCCGGTTGCAGAAATCACGCTCGGAAACAGACAGCTCGCGCATATAGTGCTGTTATTTGTGTTTCAATGGCTTAAATAACTTGTTTTTAAATAGGCTAAAGCTTGCCGCAAAAATTACCATTTTCTTGATATTGTGAGTGCACACAAATAAAAATAGATCCTTTACAGTTCCGAACAATGTATTATTCTTACCTTTATGAGCAAAAATGACGGCGTATTTAATTTGTGATTACTGATGTCCTGAAGCGCGCTTCAGCGTCCACTCTCTGCACAAACGATTGGATATGCACCTAATAGCGCACATTTATATAGGTTAAATGTTTAAACTAACATTGTGATATGCTTTAAGTATTGCATGAATGGATGACATTAGCACACGTGTGGTTTTGTTTACAATTTCTGGTTCACTTGCAAAAAAGGGCAGTGTGAAAGCGAACCGCACCAAACAAAAAAAAATCAACATTGTATTTGGTCCGGACCAAAGCAAGTGAACTAGCGGACTTTCCTGGTGTGAATACACCCTAAGTTTTGTTCTAACCGGGGCATGCCACAATGGCCATTTTTGCTGATATTTTTTCTACGACATCTGTGAAATCACAATGGTCACATAACTGCACATTATGCATTAAATATCTTCCAGTTGGCTATTTGGCCAGTTGTTTGTTGTATCACGTCTGTTTAGTACTTGTTAGGCAACATTCTGATTTATAACGACTATTTGCACAGCAAGATTTGACTTTGGCTCTCAACAGACCCATTTCACATTTCCAGAGGTTCTTAGAAGCGGAAACTACAACAAATATATTTTTTACATTCCCATTTGCTCTAATATCAAAGGAATAAATCCATGATTGCGTATCTATGACTTTACAAAATAGGAAGAAATATTGAGAGATTGATTACATTGGTCAGAAGAGAGAAAAATGCCAAATTTGTTGGCACCCCCTCAGCCGTTGTATAAGAAATACTCAAGCATCAGTGTTAACTATTTTTCTGTAATTAAATTCCAAAGTGACATTATAAAAAATAAAATAAAATGAAAATATAAAAAACTACATTTACAGTGTTAATAACTGTGGAAACGTGCCATATGGAATAAAATACATTTAAAATATTTAGTGCTGTCTTAGATTTTGGTCAAAACAAGGATTCAGTTTTGGTGCCTACTGTTTGAAACAACCTCATTGTACCGGGTTATAAGTTATGTTATGGGGAGTAAAGGATGCATTTAGAAAAGTGAATCTTGCTGTATGGACTAACATGCAACATGGACACATAGTACTCTCTGACAGATATTACTGAAAGCTGCTTATTATTATATATTAAACTGATATTCTCCGTGACAGCCCATGTGAATGGCAAAAATGAATCTAACCAAAAATTTTGATCTGCACACTTTCTCTACCTGTTAGTCATTTTGAGCAGCCAGGTTAGCTGACATTGGGTTTGGAGGACAGGATGTCTACATGGATAATTAATAATGGATAATGGATAATTTGTAGAGATGGGTGGTCTAATTCAGTGGTGGAAGTTAGTGAAGCGGCTAACATCCATTTTAGCACCTTTAAAACTAGGTAAATGACAGTAATTCGTTTACTTTTCTAGCAGATGCTCTTTACTGTAGTGTTTCGAGGACCCAGTTACAGCTTCAGTCGACTCCACACAGCAAAATGATATAAAAAATGAAGACTTGTTTACAGAGAATATATCTTGAAGTTTATTTTCCTTACACCTGTGGTAAACAGTTTTTTTTTCTTGTTTTTAGCATGTAAGCATTAAATTAAAACATGTGAATTTATGTTTAAAATGAGAAAGAATGAAAAAACATTTGCCAGTGGGGTATAAAAAATAAAGTTGTATATTTTAAAATATATTCTCTGAAAAAAGGTCTTATTTTACATAATTTGCTTCTCAATTTAATATTTCTTGTTTTATAGATATCTAGATATTTTTTACTGGCAAAAGGAGAACTTTTAAATAAGAAAGTGATTTTTTTGGGCTTTTGACTTGCCTATGAAGAAAGAAAAACAAGCTTTCTGAACTCTCTGTTCAGGTCTTCTGCCTGGCTAATTTTTAGCAGCATCCTCACTCACTTCAGCTGAGCTCGTGCATTCGGTATTGTAAGATTATCTACGTTTCTCAATCCCTGCAAGCAGAGGCATCCGATGCACAATATGAGCTCTAGATTTAACTGGAGGCCATTTCACTTCCATGGCTGAAGATTTGTAAGTGTATTAGTCACACTCGGGTTGTAAATCTGTGCCTCTTCCCAAGACTATTCACTCTGCGAGGCCGCTCGGGGGTGATTGTGTTTTCCAGTAATGTGTTGGATAATCCTAATGCAGACAGGTGTGTGGCTTTCCTAATCAAGTCCAATCAGTATAATCAAACACAGCTGGACTCAAATGAAGGTGTAGAACCATCTCAAGGATGATCAGAAGAAATGGACAGCACCTGAGTTAAATATATGAGTGTCACAGCAAAGGGTCTGAATACTTAGGACCATGTGATATTTCAGTTTTTCTTTTTTAATAAATCTGCAAAAATGTCAACAATTCTGTGTTTTTCTGTCAATATGGGGTGCTGTGTGTACATTAATGAGGAAAAAAAATTAACTTAAATGATTTTAGCAAATGGCTGCAATATAACAAAGAGTGAAAAATTTAAGGGGGTCTGAATACTTTCCGTACCCACTGTACTTATTTTGTACTCAACTAACTTGCCTGTATATTCTTCTTCTCTCTTATATGTATAAAAATCGTGAAGTAGACTAAAAGTTTCACTACATTTGTACCACTTTAGCTCTAAACCAGCTCATCATAATTGTGACATAAATAGCAGTCTCTCTCCACAGTTTACACTGGACTAACATGAAGCCAAGGTCATTCTCATTTCAGAAAGTTCCCTTCCTCCTCTCTCTCCCCTTCCCCCATCAAACTAATTAGTGTTTTATACTGGTCTCTTTAATATTAGCCCAAAATAGTGCTGGTGTTTGATGTTTAAATCCAGTCACCGGGAAGTGTAAGCTAAGGATTTCATCAGCGCCACAGGGCTTCTTTAGCCCCAGTAGTGCAGGTCTCAGTGTGAATCTATTGTTTTAGATATGCCTCAGTAATCTGCTGTGGGGTGGGAGTAAAAGAGGGGGCAGGAAGTATGCTTCATATTTTCATATTATTAGAAGGAAAATTAGGCCAGTTATGAGTTCATGTCAATGTGTAAGCTGCTCTGAAGATGGTTGAGGCCACTGAAGATTCACTAAACAATTTTTTTACCTTTTTGCCTTGCTTTCTCTAGACTCCGCCCCTTAATATCGTCCACTCCCAAGAAGAAGAGGACAGCAGCCAAACCGGTAGGTTGAATGAGAGCCCTCTATTATTACTGTTAATATTTTATTTTCCATTTAAAAGTTAATTTTACATTGGTGCATTGGTACATTACCATGGTTATTCTTGTTGCAACCAATTCGATTGGACCTACAGCCCTGGACATTAAAAACCAAATATATGGCAAGAATTTTCTCTTCTGTTTTTGAACTCTGCACCTCATTTCATAATCCAAGATCTAATGTGATTACTGAATGGCATCTCAGTGCAGACCTGTTTGTGGTCTGTTTTCTTGTTGACCTAATGAACAACATTTCATGAATATCAGCTTAAATTCACTTGATTAACCCTACTTGACTTCAGTGGTAAATCCATCACGATAATCAAATACTTCATAGCTAAATGGCACGGCAATAAATAGCGAACCAGCATATTTCACAATACAGGGTAAATATGGCATATACATTTAATTGAAAGTCAATATTTGTGATAATGTTCAAGCCAAGTTGATGGATTGCCTCTGTGGTCACTGGGTCTTAGTGTCTCTCTTCAAAATAGTCAGGCTTGATTAAGGACCAACGTAGCCTGAAGTCAACCATACTGAAGTACGTGTACAAACAGACAAAAAAGCTGTTGTGGGGGAAAAATCACGCACAAAATGATTGCAGGGGTCAACTTTGCTCTCGCAATGAAGCCCCCCGCTGTCCCATCCAGGTTGCTGCCAATATGTTCTGAAATAAATCAGTATTATATAATGTATTGTGCCTTTCTCAGAGAGATTCAGAGGAGAGTCATTCTTAACAAATAAACATTAGCCGTTCTCCCTTTGTTCCCACAAAACAAGAGCAGAGCATTCTCTGGGGTCATAAGGGGTCTTAGTTCAGATGTCATAAATACTACTAATAAATTGTAGAATGAAATAGAAGCATTAAACAGAAAAGTTCTGGAATAGTATCTGTTATCTTTTTCTTAATTTTCTTGTTCCTAATGAGATCATTAATGCCCCAGCCCAGATTCTCTAGCCATTAGGCCTCTGCTTGTCTCTGTGATCCCAGCCCGAGTTACTCACTCTGGGTGTAACCTACAGGTGAGCTGCAGGGAGTCTTCTATGCGTTTGCCAAGCTTGGCAGCCCCTATTACAAGAACCCCACTGCTGCTGTTTCCCCTTAACTGGCACTGCCTGAAGAGTGGCCTCACGGTACAGCGGCAAGTCTGTGCTATAATTACCACTGAGACTTTCATGCTCTTCCTCCAGTTTTCACAATATGATAATTGATTTAGGCCTCTGCTTCCCCTGAGCTGTACTTCCTTACACAGATGCCTGCTGGGAAATGTAGCCTTGATTCACTTGGGCTCGTTCTTTTCGATTTAATCTTTGTTTTTTCCTCGACTGTGTAGTTTCACTAATTTTAGTTGTTTTTTTAAGGGAAGGGAATCAGCACAAGTTGCAGGCCAGAGTCAAACCTGCATTTCCAACATAAGCACCATGATTCTACATGTCAGATGCACTAGCCACTACACTATGGTGCAGAGTAAGAATCAGTATTGAGCATTACTATGGAAAATATTTGTGAAAAAGGGATCAGGATTTGTTGCAGGCCAGATTCAAACCTGCATTTCCCACATGAGCACCATGATTCAACATGTCAGATGCATGTATGCTAGCCACTACTCTATGGTGCTGACTAAAAAAATAGACTTTAAATTAATATGTAAATTATTGAGGATAAAGTAGGGAAATGCGATCAGAACTTGTTGCAGGCCAGATTCAAACCTGCATTACTCATATAAGCAGATTTAATATGTTAGATGCACATATTTTAGCCACTACACTATGGTGCTGACTAAGAATCAGTTTTTTTAACATTATTATGGAAATTATTTGGGAGAAACAGGAAATGGGCTCGGAACTTGTTGCAGGCCAGATTCAAACCTGCATTTCCCACATGAGCACCATGATTTAACATGTCAGAAGCATATTTGCTAGTCACCACACTATGGTGCTAACTAAGAATCAGCATATTGAATATTATTATGAAAATTATTTGGGGCAAATAGGATCGGGACTTGTTGCAGGCCAGATTCAAATCTACATTACCCACATGTTCACCACAATTCAGTGTGTTAAATGGGATCAAGACACATTGCAGATCAGATTAGAACCGGTATCACCAGCGCAAGCACATTTTATATCTGACAGTAGAATTTCACTGAAGCATTGTTAGTTTATAAACTAATATGTTGTCTTTTATTGTTCTAAAACATTATTTATTTCAGGTCACTCCCAACATCACCATGATGTTGCCCCCTGCAGCCCCAGAGCCCCCTCCAGCTCCAACCCCTCCCCCCGTGATGGAAATTGGGCCTGTGGCATATGATGAACCCGCTGAGGAGGAAGAGGAGAATGAGGAAGAGGCGGAGGTGTCTTGCATTAGTGCCATGGAACTGATAGGTGGAAATGGTCAGTATGTCACAGCGGATTGTAGTCATGTCGCTGACAAGGATAATGAAGTCACGGCTCAAGGGTTCAATGAGTTCAAAGAGTTTCCTAGATTAGTTCCAAGGTCTGACTCTTCATTTTGACAAATTGTGTAATGCTAAGTGGCTGTAACTCTCTAGCATTCGTGGCAGACTACATTTGAAGTGTTTATCATCTTGATAAACTGCTCCTATCTCTTCTCCTCTGCAAGTCATACATCTACAAATAGTTGCTTATCACAGTAGTGTCCTAGCAGCAGTCTACCAATATAGTTTGATCTAATCTTTACCGTTCTCTTTTTTCAACATGTATCCAGAAACAATAGAATTCATGACAACCTTTCGCTTTACAGACTACGGATGTGAAGCTGAAGAAGAGGAGGTATTTTAGACTGCCGTCTGTTCCCCGAAATTCTTCTCATCCTCCTATCAACTATCCACCACTCTGTATAGTGAGGAGAGGAGAAATTAAGGCACATTTGAGACACCTATAATATGCTGCATGTTTATGAAAGGTCATTCTCCATCACAGTGCTTTATATGACTGGTTAAACTGCAGCATCTGTGTGATGAATGAGCTACAATGGGAGAAGGTGGCTGGCAGCTTTAGACTGAAGAACATAAAACCAGTTTAGCACTTTGTCGGTGTTCCACTAAAAGTTCAAGAGACAGGAAGCTCTATAGTAGTTTCCTGAGTGTCTCAGAGAATTTGATTTACGGGTGCAGGATTTGAACCTGTTTGTAATTCCTTAAAGGTGAGGATATTGATGTCTTCTTAGCTTGCTAATAATATTGAATGCATTGTGGGAAAATGTAATAGCGATCTGTTGTACGTTTACACTTGTACAGAATTGTACATATACAGTAGGAAGCTGTGAAATTGTCACTTTCAGTGTTTTAACTTTTTATTTGCAGCTATTTTGTCTGTATATATGTACATGTAACAGTATTTTGTTAGATGCACTGTTATATTTCCTTATTCCATGAAAAAGTAAATGTTCCTCTGTGTTGGATTATGATAAATATTAATGTATTTTACAGCAATGTTATGACCCTCATTTTAACTGTTTTCATCAGATCATCAGATGTGGATTTCAGAGTACACAGTAAAAACTAGTGAGCAGAATATGTTAATGTGTATGTGAATAAATTCACGCATGTTTAGGATGATTTAATGATGATTTTATGGTGCTTTTGCATTCATTTTGTAGTTTAAAAGCCCCATCCCCTATTCATTGTAGCTTTTGTGTTCCACTGAAGAAAGAAGGAAAGTCATACAGATTTGGAACATGACAGTGAGTAAATGACAACAGAATTGTACATTTTTGGTAGCACAACAAGCATTGTGAATACATTTCTTCATGTTTTCCCTACATTCCCTTTCTCGTTTCTTTTTATATTTTTCATGTCAAGCAAGTACTGTACAGTAGTTCCTTTTCAGCTGAAATTCTTAAATGTTATTTGCCAGCCAAACCCCTTTGACCTGAAATATTTACTTGAAGTACCCCAAGATTTTATATTAATATTTAAATGAACATGTTTACAGTTCTCTGATGTTGGTTAATGGTCACATGACATGCAGGCAAACAAATAAATTGTTTTGATTAATTTAGATTTTTTAATTTATTGTAATTTTTATAACTAAATTAATTATTAGCTTTTCATTAACTCAAAAACCACTTGCAGTTGCCTCACAAACCTTAGTTTGGCAAACCACAGTATGCTACACGTCTACACAGACTCACTTCCCACATGCTACACGTACGTCTGTGATTCAATTGCTAATGTCTCAAATCAGATTTGTTCAGGAGTCATGGTCAAGGTGGTTTAAGACTTCGATTCATCAGTGCTTCCTGAATTTCATTAGAAGAATCGAGCTTAATGTCTTTGTGTGACTATGATCCAAGCATTCAAGAACCACAAAAGCTGAAACATACAAAACCGGTTTTCATTTGTGAGTACTGTAATGGCTAATGATATAGATATTTTATGAGTCTGCGGTCAGACGAATGCGATGGGCTTTGCCTGTGGCTCATATACCCTGACAGAGCTCATCAACAGATAAATCATTAGAATGACAGAGAGAGATCCAGTTGAACCGTTTACCCCTAAAGCACCATCAGCCTCTCTGTGTGAAAGGCCGTATTCATACAAGGCAAAGCAGTATGCAGCTACCTGGAGGTTTAAGACGTGTTTGCTTTCGAAAGTATGGAGAAACTGCAGCCAATTTAACCCGCTCTGCTGATCAGACTGAAGGGTAACAAAACACTATAATGGTCTGCTTCTGCAGTAATGCAGCCTGTCACTCACATCTGATTTGATTTGTCCACAGATGCGGGCTCAGGGTGCCCTTATACTTCAGCTGTATCGGGTTCAGTTCTTCAAAGCTTTGTGTTCAAATTGCTTCCCACTCTGTCTGGCTGCAGACCTACTCTGGTTTCAGCCAGGCTGGTATATTAATCACGCAGTCCTCTCGGAGCAAGGTTAACATTGTGATTTTAACATCCCGTAGATAACCGCAAGGTATTGCTGGACTGTGTTTCATAATTACCAACCCAAACTGAAGTTAGTTATGTTTCCATGCAGCTTGTTAAGGAGAGTTATGCTCATTACCATTTTTGTTACGTGTTTGAAGGATGATGATGAAGCAATGAAAGAATCCCATAGATTTGCATTGAAGGAGAGATGCGAGCGATTTTGACTTGGGCTATTAAACAACCACCCAGGAAACCACCCACAACTCTCTAGTATGGTGTTGGCGTGCATCTTCTTCGTTAAATTTCTTGTAGGTTTGACTTTGTCACTAGGTTCGTAAAAATGAACGCATAACGTAGTTTGTCTACCTAAAAATGTAGTGCCACTTCAAAAGACGATTTTGGCAACTTTGAATAACCAACATGTTTTTAATTAACGGTGCACTCAGTTGATTATGTTTTGGTGAATGATACATCAGTTATACTGACACCTAGTGGTGTGGATGTATTATCATGCAAACGTTTTCCATTAACAATACAGAAATACCCTATTCATAGTCGTTTTAGGTTAGGATTAATTTATTCTGTGAGAGCAAAATTTGTATTATTTTTTTATTAGAATGTTATTATATCGTTATTTTATGAGGCTACTGATATGACTCGAGTCTTCATCTTATTTGAGTAAAAATAATATTTAAAAAATACTATTCAAATTTTTTACTAAGGAAAAAATGACTAAATGCACCTTTAAGGTTCCACCCAAAAATGAAAATTGTTATTTACTCTCCCTCATGTCATTCCAAACCTGTATAACTTCCTTTTTTTCTGCGGAATACAAAATATATTTTGAAGTATGTTGATAACCAAACTATTTTGGTTCACATTGACTTTAATTGCATTGCATTGTTTTTGTTCATTTAATTGAAGTCAATGAGAACCAAAACTGTTTGTTTACCAACATACTTTAAAATATCTTCTTTTGTGTTTCACAGAAGAAACAAAGTCATACAGGATTGGAACAACATGAGTGTGAGTAAATGATGACTAATTTTTAAGTGAACTATCCCTTTAAGAATTCATGTATGGGTTTTAATAAAAATATGTGCTTCTTTTTGTCCTTCATTACAGCTGAGGGATGAATTGAAATGACCTTGGTAATCGACATCATGCCACAGATGCTTCTCGTAGACTTTAAGTGGAAAATAATGGATGATAATGTCTTATGACACTCATTAGATACAATGACGGTGATGATGATTGTGATGAGTAAGTGATTAATACAGTCCCTTTAGGTTTCACAGCAAATGCAACGTATCATGCTGTTTGCACTCTTTCTAGTCACAGGCTGTTTTGAGTTGCTCTTCGCCTCGAGCTACGGTAAAGCCTGTGGATTGTGCATAATCATTTTCCTGTGAGCCACAGGCCAGCTGTGTCCTGGAGGTTGAGGGTAGAGGGCTGTGTGATTCATACAATATGATGCTTCTCCTGTATGCCGTGTGCTGTCAGATAGCTCATCTGTCTCCTCTGACTGTAGTCACTCCATTGGGCTCAGGTGAGAGTAAACATGACCTCATTGATCTTCACTATGTTTGTTCAGGCCAGACCAACATATAAGCTTATCATAAGCATATATCTTTTTTTATATATAAAAAAAACTATTGCAAAATAATGCACTCTGGAGGTGGTAATGCAGCCATAGTGCGAAGAGGAGCTTGTTTATTTTTTATTTTTTAACAAGTCAGTGTGGCCCGTCGTCAACTATTATTATCACTCTTGCAAATATAAAGGCTGTAAGAGATATTGGAGGCTATATGATGGTGACAATGAAGTCATGCAACTGTGGTGTAGTTCAGTTATAGGCTGTTATATGTTGTAATCTATATCTTTTTTCTTCAGTTGTATTAGGATTTACAATTCATAAACGCTGTGTTCAGCAGGGAAGATTATCATGATGAAAGAAATGTGTAAGAATCCTAAACTTTTGTTGGTAACAGAGCTGATTTTCTGTAATAATCCAAAAGCCAATGGAAAATCCTATTAGGTTTTTGTCAAGGGAATCAGGTTAATGCTAACTTCGAGGTTTGGTCTACAAAAATACATTATCAATGGAGTGTGGTATCCTTTTTTTAATGCTGGCACCTTTTATTTTGACTTTTTATTATTTTCATAAATTTAATATGTTACATGTTTTCTTGTAGTATTATGGTAATATTGTCAATTTAAAAAGTTAAAAGTTCAATTGTGCGCTAATCAATGTCAGTTTCAAAACAGTGGACCAATCAGAAGAAGTCGGGGGTGGGGCAACTGTCCCAAGCATGTGTGAAAATAGCTGCTGTTCTTGTCTTTCCATTATATTCCTCTTTTTTTTTGCCGTAGCATATCTCATATTCCACATTTTTTACTGTTCTTCACTGCATCTCACATTTTCTATGTGAACAACCCCTAATTAATCAGTATTTTTGTCATGTTTTCAATTTCTAATAGCAAAACTGTGCAACATAATATGGCCTCCTTATATCTGAATTTCTCCAATGAAAGTTGTCCTTTCATCCTCTCATTTGCCCCAGCTCTGCCGTACTCTTCATGTCTCTCTGCATCTCTTTGAGTTATTGCAGGCTGAACTAGAGAAATACGCAACCTAGCTCTCTTTTCCTGCAGTGCACCAATTATGTAACTGTTCAGAGGTTGTCCCACGCAGACACACAGAGATGCTGTCACGTCTCCAAATGATCACCGTCTTGTAACGGTACACTATGTAGAAAACATCCTCTGCACTATCATTCCCTGCAGAGTTGTCTTGTGCTTGTTGTCTGCTAAATTTAATGTGCTCCCGGTGATGGGGCAGTGCTCCATGCATCCCCTCACTGCTCAGCTGTTCTGGGAAACAGTTTCGCTGAGGGAGACCCCCGTCCTTTGTAGCTTCAAACCCAAACCTATATGATGCATGTCTCTTAATTACGCACAAAAGCCCAAAGGTGTGGACAATAAAATGTTACATGCACATTAAGAGGTATAATAACACACCGTAGCCATGAAGAGACAAACTCGCCAGGGCCCCATTCAAGTGACAACGAGCCCCATCCCAGCCCCCTCTGAGCCATCTGCTGCTCCGCCACTTGTGTATTCTCCTGCCTCACTTCTTGAGCCCTGACATTTATTCTCTTCTAGTTTTTTTAAATAACCTTTATTTAACCAGAGTGCCTAATTACTTTCTCATTTACGATGCAAAAGGTGAGGGGCAGTTCAATAACACAGGACAACGTGTGACATTAGCTGCAATGCCATTGCACAATGGTACATAGTTACATCATTTAATGTTATTAAATAAAAATGCTTCTGTAAAAATATGTAAATGTCAAAACAGTTTGCATATAATTTGCTACAGCAGTCTGTAAATGAAAAGACTAAATTAAATCAGCAACGTTTCCACATCTATTTTTACACCTGTTACTTCAAATGATATCTTGGTTGGTTTCTCTCATAATGTGCATTTCATGCTCATTAAGGATTGACTTGTTTTCTGTTAAACTCATTTTTAGTCTTTCAGTCTGTTGAATGATGGTTAAGCTTCATGTTCTGTTGAGACAGAATTGACTCTTTTTATGTTTGGGGTCCCACAGTTGTGAACATATTAAATAATAATAGTAATTTCACAATTAACATTTAGTATTCAACTTATTTTAATATTTGTATTTAATATATTACTATTTTATTTAAATTAGTTAATCATTTTAAATATTTTATGAGTTTATTCATATTTAACTTTTTATATTTTGTTTTACCACAATGTAGGCATACTGTACTTTTTTTCTAAATTGCAATTGGTATGCATTTTGTTGCAATTGTTTCAGTTTATGGTCATTTTGACCCTGCCACAAATAGTTTGTATAAAAATACAATATAAGTCAAAATAAATAATAGGTTATTTATCAGAGAATCTTTCATATTGTTTTATAACTGGAGTATCTGAGACCCTAAACTGAGTATTTTTTATAGCTTGCTATTGCATTGAAATTATGTGTATAATCAG